ATGATTTCTACAAAATGAAGATATTTTTGAGAAATAAAATATTTTAAAAGTTTTAAGTATTTCCTGTAAGCGACAACAAAATAAATAGTTTAAATAAGAATAAACTATAGAAGTTATTTTAACAATATTAAATTTAGGCACTATACATGACTCAATCTATTATTGGCACATAAATCATGAGTTCAAATCCATCAATATCTAACATTTATGTATAACCTTGAGTAGAGCAGTACTCATAAAAATAATATTAAACTGTTGAAAAATTATAAACATTTAATATTACTTAAAACATAGGATGTATACTTATTTTAAAATCCTTTGAATTAAAATACTTATTTAGTCTAATAAATAATTTGGATCTAAATTTTAGATCAAATTCAATTTTATAGTTTTCTGTTTTGAATCCTGGTAATTTTGGCTACTGGCTATTTTTGATTTTGAACTGCTATAAAACTTAAAATTAAACTGTAAATGTGTATATTTTATTTAACGTTTTAAACTGAGAATAAATTAAATAATATAATGAGTTTTTCTTCAAAATATCAATTTAAAATAAAATTTCTTTATAATATTAATAATATTCTGGTAATGTATAGTTTGATTTTATTACCAACCATCAAGTACAGACTATAAGTTAAATGATAATTTAAGAGATATAACTATTGATAATAATATTATAGTAAAATGGTTATTTTTAGTACACAATTATTAATTTATTAATTTGTTTTACTACTTTAAATAAGTACTAAGTGAATTCAACATTTAGTGCGATATCGAGTTCTATATGTCAAATCAAATTTTGTAGGTAAAGCCTAACACTGCCTAAAACGAAAGCAACTTATAAATGTGATGTAACGAAACATAATATTATTAACAATAAAACATAAGTTCTCAGCAATTAGAAACTCTAAGACAATGTTATTAAATTATTTTAGGGATCATTGGAACTTAGTATATTAAATCAAAAATATTATTATACAACTAAATATTAAGTGACATACAATTTTTTTTTGTAAGGTAGAAGTAATCAATATTTTTAAACTTCAACCGAGAAAACAAGGTTTTATCTTATATTTTTTTTATATTTTTAAATTTGTAATTTATATGGACAACATATTGTATTGGTATTTAATTGTATTAAATAAATAATTCACATTTAATTTTAATGTTTTATAATATTAATATAGATTTAGACCAAACCCCTTCCGAAAATATTTCCTACCTACGCCCATGAAACAGTATATTTTGCATCGTATATTAGGTTGCTAGGTAGTTAGTATAGTTGATTGTGGATATGCATTACGCTATATGCACGACACATTTATTATATTTATCTTATTACTTTATTTCAAAACAATCTTTTCCGATCATATATTTTGCTTTCGTGTTTATACAAGTTCTGAACGTTGTATTGGTTTAATTTACCAATCCATCGATAATTGGTACCGATTTGTAAGTATTTCATATTTCACTGCATCAAGCAATGTTTTTACCTCTATTACAGAATATTTAATCGTAAATCAATAAACATTTCGATAATTAGAGGTTAATTATGCTAAATTCTAAAACTATATTTTAACATTACCTAAATAGCCAAATTTTATCTTATAAAAATTAGCTGTTCTAAATTATTTTTAATATCATGATATTATATTAATGTTCAGGAGACACCTTGATAACGGGACAATTCCCAATTCCCATTATTTATTTCAAAAATATAATAGGTAGTTGTGTAATCATCAGTTATTCTCAAATTTAAAAAATAAATAAATAGGTAATAATAAATTTTATGGAAAAACAAGAATTTTTGCGCAGTTTTTGACAAAATTTATTTTGTATTTAAATGCAACTCAAAAACAAATAAACGTAGATAAACTCACTATATGCTTATATGAGCATTTTATTTTATAATTTTAGTTTTCAAAACATTTTGATTCTTTTTGAGCTATTTATAGACATTTTAAATTTTCCTTTTTCAATATTTTTTTCAATTATAATCGATAAAAAAAAATTTTGTTCGATCATTAACTTTGTAAATTTAATACAAGATTTCTCACAAGTTATATTCATCTACCAAATAAAAACTAATCGATAATTTTTTAGTCAGAATATATTTTTTATTAGCGTTTAAAGTTTGAATTTTTATGAATTTTTCACTAAAACTACAAACATTTGAAAATTCTTTTATAAGTAGATAATCAAAAAAAAAGAATTTGTCTTTTTGTATCAAAGATGTATAATTCTATAAACACAATTCCTCGTAAGTTTTCCAGTAAGAAATAGATATAGTTTACCAAAAATTCACATTTTTGTTGTTATAATCGTTAAAAGTTCAAATTTTTACGACATTATTACTCGTAAAACTTGGCATCATATCCTTAAACTATTTTTGATGTTTTGTTATAATTCTCTAACATAAACCTAGTTACCGTGTATTCGTATTAACGGCAAATGTAGGTATCTACAATCTACGTAAGATTATTAATATTTGATAATTTGTACCATCCCTCTCTCCCACTTTAAAATATTACCCATGGGTGCCCATGCGTATAGATTATTAGCACCTTTGTAAATTTACAGCAAGCCAATAAAACTCAGATAAAATTTTAAATTAGTGCCAAAATATACTCTGTCACCTTCCTATGTCACTTATACGCTCAGGGTATGCGCTACTGCATATTCTATGGGCTATGTCATAACTCATAATATATAGAGCTATTATAAGAGTTTGGTGCACCGCCGTTAAATGTCACAGCCACGAACATTAAAGTAGTATTACTCTGAAAGTCTGATAGATTACATGCTTTACAATTTAGATAATGACAGAATATAAATAAAATAAATATATTTTTCCGTACTTCAGTCTTTACGAGATACTTACTTACTATACTTATTAGATAATAATATCACGCAAGTCGCAACCAACGGCACTAACGTCATCTGAAATGCCGATGATAAATAAAATTATTAAATTTATTATAAACACAATATATTTATTGTTTGATATTTTAAAAAATGTTTATACGTGAGTCATGTAAAATGGAAAAAAATATCGGGCAAGTATTACTGCGTCTCGAGAAAAAAATTTTCGGCTTCACGGAAAAATAAATTCCTTGGCCCCACAAAACCTCCCGCTGACGCCGACTACGCCAGTCCCAACTCTAGTAGAGCGATATGAACGCTAAATGTTATGCAGGTGGGTACCTACGTCATATTATCATTAAGACGTGCGTATACTTTTACAGTTGTACCTATTCTGTCTACAACCATAAATATTAATTCCTACTACAACTTTTGTTCACGTTCCCGCGGTCTTGTCAGTTTGCCAGTTCGGTTGGTTAGTGAATCCCACGATCGGCATTAAAATGCATTTGACTACGTTAGCCCAAGTCCAAGTGTTCACTACTTACTTTTATATTTGATAATTTTATTCCGTAGACCGCCACCCTTCGGCCCGATCCGACGACGGTACTCATTAGTCAGCTGGCAGGAACACATAATAATTAAAAATTAATTAATAACAATAATTTATTCTGTGATAGTATTATTATTTATTAGTGTAAGTTTTCACTATTCAGTAATCGTCGATCATCGGTTTCGACTTAAGTCCGTTATTATTACAAATATAGATAATAAATTAGTTTATTATCTAATATCTCTATCTGCGGTTGTTGAATACGAAAAATAATAATAAAAATAGTCAATTATCTTAGTTATTAAATTATCTAATAATCCATGACCGTGTTCATGCCTACGACCGGTTGATGATTTATTTTTCGTTTTCTTCCGCCGCTGTTCGGTGACGAATTATTTTGGTTATTTTTCTTTTTAACACTTGTGGGCACACAAGCAATGTGTCTCGTTACTCAATTTTGAATATCCGTTGGCCGTTACACTGTACATATGTATAATGGAACGCCAACGCCGAAGACAAATCTTAGTAGAATGCTAATTATCACTTTTATTTTTTGTGTGTGTTCGTTTAAATAAACGGTAAATTCTATATCGTTCCAGGTGTAAATGAGCATTATATACGTATATATAGCTGTTGTTATTAATTTGTTATTTTATTTATCAACAATTTAAACGCCCGAACACCACAAGATATGGATTACAATGTGAGTAAAAAATGAAATATATTACCTATAATATTGATTAAATTTAAATATGTTTAACTCTAATGTATAAAGTTTGAATATAGTTACATTAATTACATGTATTTTTTTTTTTTATTATATCATTAGTTTCATTCTTGCTAAAAGAATAAATGTAATTCTATTTAGTGTACCTACCTTAATTTTGAATATTTAAAATTTTTTTTTTTCATTTAAATAGCATATTTCCTAATTTTACAATTTGTTATAGGTATTAATATGACCAAATATTTTGTAAATTAAAAATATAATCATTGATTTGAGATGTATGTATTTGTATCCAAATTTGTATTTCTAAACAGGTGTGTGCCGAGTTTGAAGTTAAAAATTTCCAATATTTTTTTATTTTTTCTTAAAATTTTGAGACCATTTAGGAAGTTATAATTTATAAACTTTATACATATTTTACACTAAAACTGTATACTAAATATTATGTAACCTAGGTAATATGTGTATTATACCAACATAAATATCTTGATTTACTTGTTTAACGGCTTGATGTAATTTTATATTGATTGTTTATCATAATTTATATATTGGAATGTAATTTAGTTAATTATAATTTCACGATCTATAAAATAAGTGGATAGCTGGGAAGACAGTAGTAATTATAGGCGTTTTGGGTAGGTGTCCTTAATCTGTATTTACCAACATTTCTAAGATGATAAGGGGAATTTTTTGCATATCTTGTTACATCTGTTCACATGACTTTAATTATTAATAAAACAGTTTTTTAAACTTATAATTTCATATTAGTATTTTATATTTAACTAAACTGAATAGTTTTACATGGATACCTAGGTATATAATTAAACAAAAAATCTTAATTCATAAGTATTTATTAATAAAAATAAAAATAGAATTTATTATTGATTTTAGCAAACTATATTAGGTATTGAAGGTCATAATTTTATTTTATGAGACTTTTTAATAAATAAATATAATATGCATTTTTTAGAATATTGATGAAGACGATATTGAAAATTTAAGGCTAGCTGCTCTTATGACGTTAAAAAAAAAATCATATTTACCATTAAATAAAGAAAGTAGAATACAGAAGTCTGAAAAATGTTTTCCTCGTATGTTTGCACATAGTAATTCTCATAATACTTTTACTAAAAATAAAAGTGATTGGAATCCTACATCAAATAAATTGTTCAGTAAACAATCGTTAAGAAATGTAAGTTAATTTTGAATTTAAAAATACATTGGAATTACATTGTTATTTACTATGACTTTTATTTACAGGTAAGTTTTCAAAAATCAGCTTATCCCAATAATAGTAATTTGATTTCTATTATACCATCTGATATTAAATGTGATTTTTATACTGATTTAACTAATTCTACCCTTGCACATACTTCTGAGGACAAAATATCATTGAATATTCCAAATTTGAATAATAAAGGTAATTTTTACTAAAGTAATAACTTTTTTTATTTTAAAGTTCTTTATAATAAGTTTAATTTAAGTTTATATATTTATAATAAAAAATATTAATTATTAGACATATTATTTATCAGTTAAATATTTATTTTTTAGTATCCACTAAATTCAGTAGATTAGAACTGGAATCTGATTCTGAAGAAAATGAAGATAGCGAATCAGAAATTAATGAAGGAGAAGAATCAAACGATTGTGATATTTTATCTTTAGGAGAAAAAGATAAAGATTTAGATGATCTCGACAAATTAATGGATATTATGGAGGCTGAAATTGCTAATGGTGAATCATCTATAAAAAAAAGTTCAAATTTAAAAATGAATAATAATTATGTTGTAAAAAATGCTACTGAATTGAATGTTGACAAAAATAAACCTATTCCTTTAAATCAACTTAAGACCATTGAAGATTCTAAATTAAAGTTAAATCCACTTAACGAAGAACTTACATCTGTAATTGATTTTAAAGCAAATACAAACTCTTCACCTCAATGTACTTCATTAAAATCTTCAATTTTGTGTAATAAAAAGAGATCAGCCTCTCTTAATATTAAATATTTAAAAAAATGTTCTACTTCAGTTGATCATTCAAAGCTTCAAAACAAATCTTTATCTTCAAGGAAATCATCGCCAATAAAAGAAAATAATATTTTGCCATTACAAAATTCTTCTTTAAAATCTCAGAATCCTTCATTATCTTTAAACAAAACATGCAGTTCTCTATCACAAGTCACATTACCTAACAGAAGACAATTATCTCCATTTGGTAGAAAAAGTAAATTTCCACTCAAAAGAAAATCAAGATCACCAAGTATTGCTAATAAAAAATCATATAACCCAATAAAAAAAGTGATTAAATCAAGATTAATATCTCCTGCTATTCCAAGTGTTAATGATAACTTACAGAACACAATTAAAGCTAAATCTATTGAAAAACAAGTGAAAATGAGACAATCTGATTCTGTTTTAAAAGTAAGAAAAAATAAAATATTAATCCAAAATTTAGAACATGAAAATAAAATTTAATAAACAGTGAATGCTAAAAGTATTTTATAATTTACATTAAAATTTGTTTTATAGTTTATTTTTTTTAACTTGAGTTTAAATTTCTAGTTGAACTTCTTAGTTTTTTTAAAAATAATAACTGTTATACTTTTGGTCAGGAAACAGTTTGCTTTTTTCATGGACCAGAGTGTATAATTTCTTATTGTTTTTCTTTACTATTTGCTATTAATTTATTTATTTCTCAAATAACAGGCGGTAAATGATAAAAAACTATGTACACAACATACTGATTTTGTCGATCTGAGAACAGAAATAGAACGACGAAAAGCTCTTCGACTAAATATGGTAAAAAATACAAATTAACATTGTTTAATTAACCAGCTTTAAATGTATTTCTATATCTGTCTAGAATAAATTGGATATAAAGAAAAATACAAAATCATTTTATCCTACTCGATTATTACAGTCTGCAATTAAAGATGTAGTTGATTCGAGGTAGTATTAAATATGTTTATGTATAATTTACAAAATTAAAAACGCTTGTAAAATTATTTTTATTGATAAAGTAATACTATCAATAAAAATAAATAATAAGTAATACTATATTGAAAGAGATTGGAAATTAAAATGTTTTAATGAGCTTAATTGATCATTATTGGATAAATAGATTATACAGTAGAGTCTCGATTGTTCGGATCTCTGATAATCCGGTGAACGCGGTAATCCAGATGGTATAAGTCCATTTATTCATAAATATATTTGTAGTTTGTTCGGAATTAAAAGTATTCAGAAAAAAGTTACTGAACATTATACTTTAGTTATATTATTATACACATTATTTTTTTTACATTTATTATGTTAAATTTATTTATTATTTTTGTTATTTAAAGTATGATAAATATAAAGGTGATGGAATTAAAAATAAAAACTTGGCCATTTGAATAAGTAATTTTGAAAACCCTCCATTAATTCAGGCGATGCTTTGTCTAAATTTGTGTGGAATATCAAGGCTCTACTGTATATCTATAAAAGTATTTGTGTTCATAAAAAGATTTTATATGTTTCCATAAGCCATCCATGAGCAAAAATCAATATTATAACATATTTTCAAAGAAATTAGTTACTTAATAATGTTATGTTCAATTCATAGAAAATTAGTCCATAAAATATAATTAATATGAAAATAAATTTGATAAATGAAATTATTTTTTTATAGTGTCAATGAAGTGAAAAAAGATAAATGTTCTTACAAACCAGAAATTAGAGTACAAACTGAAGGTATACAATATTTTATTATTTTATTAATTTGAATTTAAGATAATAGTACTCAATTACTCACTAAATAGATTTTATAATCTATTTGTGTGTAATAGTATAATGATAATGGCTATCCTTAAAATATGTGTAAAGTGGTAAATAGATATAACCATTATTTTTTTTTTTGTTTTATTAGATTTAAAGCTTTGCATTTGAAATAAATTAATAAGAAACTTTTTTTCAAAAATTAGATTACTTTATATATTTTAAAATAGTTATTGTATGTTTCATAAAGAAAAGCATTTCTAAGTAATAAAGTAGCAATATATTTAACAAATAATAATTAAATAATTACTGAAACTCAGAATTTGATAATGGAGCAAATATAATTAGGCATAACCAAAAAGACCAGTCATATTTTCAGAAAATCCTAGAGCTGTTCTTGGTCAATGCACTCTCTAGGGCTCTAGCTTTAAATTGTTTCTTGAAAATATGATATTGTTTATACCTTTGTACCATCTACTATGATTTTTTTAGTATAATTTAAAGACTAAACACTATTTTTTTTTCTAAAAAAATAAGATGTACAATTTATCTGAAATTTGTTTTTATTGGATTAGTTAATAAAAACATTAAAAGAAAGTCATTACTTTAAAAATACTTTTAAACAGAAATTTATTTTAGTATTTCCAATTATTTTTTTCTTGCATTTTGCAAACCCTAATAACAACTATAGTAATATTTATTGAGTTAATATAAGATATTATAATGTTACAATTAGGTATTTTACTTTATTGTTTCAGGTAATTCAAGAAAGCGAAAGGTCATTTTACTTTCAGAAAGTAAGTTCATATTTTTTTTTTCTTTTTTATTAAAGTTAAATAAAAATGACTAATATATTCAGTATATAATATGATCTAATTTTACGGATAAAATATTGTTTTTGTTTAGATCAATGTAATTATAATGATGAATTAGAATCGTTTACAAATGCCAAGAGACTTAAAGACAATTTCAAGGAAGTTCCATTACATTTGAGAGTAACAGGCGTTCCTGATTATAACATAAAACAAAAAGGATTAAAAAAGATCATTAGGCAAAACATTAATGTTACAGATATTGATCAGGTATTTGATGTCCTAATCATATGCAAAGTTCTTTTTACTTTTGTCAATTTGATATATTTTTATCATTTAATTCCTATTTTAAATGATCTATATATTTAAAAATGTATTGTATTTAAGGGTTTTAACTATAGTCTATAACTAATTCAAATTAAGCTACAGAATAACATAATCAATTCTAAAAGTTATTTCAAGTACTATTACTAAGACATTTTTAATTTATAGTTAAAAAAATAAATAGTGCTTATATATTCAGTATTATTTTACCTTCTGTATTGTTTTTTTATAATAAAATGTATAAAAATTGTCTTCCATACTTGGAACATACTGTAAAAGAAAAACGCACTATAATTAAATTAATTGTAATAATTCATAGGCGTGCGCATGGGTAGGGCTGATTGGGCTTTAGCCCCGCCTAAGCTTTTTTTTTTTTTTATATGTGGTTGGATACTTGGTACCTAAGAAATTAATAATACAGAGAATTGATAACAAAATAAATCAAAATCATAGATATTTACACAATTAAAGATAAGTATAAATAGTATAATAATTATATTTTTTTAGCATACATCATAATAATTATTGTATTTAATGTGTATACAATACAAATTACATAATGAATAATTTATTATAATAAATAAATGTTAATGTTAATTGGTGATTGTTAATATTATATATTATGTTTTAAATGTTTTTGAATTGTAAGTGTAAAATAATGGGAAATGTCTATACATTTTTTCTTGTCTAACCATGAAATGATGAGGGGAGGTGGGTGGTAAAATTGAATTTAGCCATGATTGACTCAAAAGTCTGCGCACGCCTATGTAAATAATTATGTAATTGGTATTACTTAATGCCAACTTATAAAACTATTAATACCAATCATTTGTTTATTATAAACATATTTCAACAATTAATACATTAGAGCATTGAAATATTTACAAACATCTTATCGTAATTATTTTATGATTCAAATTACAAAATAAAAACAAACAAATAATAATTATATATTTGATATTTTGTTATTTTATATTTCAATATATTGAAAATATTTGAAAAAAAAAATTTATAAAATTGTTATTTTTAATTTACATTTATAATTTTTTGTAAATAATTAAATCCTATTTTAATATATTTGAATGTAATAGGTGAAATATTAAAAATGTTTGATTTACTATCTTGAATAAGTGAATAATCAAATATTTTAAATTAATTTTAATTTAAAATTATTTATAATAATTTGTATAAATATTTATAATTTATGTTTAAATTACTCACTTACTAAACTTTCTAGTAATCCCTTTTAACCCTATCTATTGTGATTGTTTATAAGACATGTATATTAATGTTTTTATTCTAATGTATTTTTTTTATTTATTATCACATAATATGTATTCATTTTTAGAATTATTTATAATTTAGATATATATTATAATGAACACATTTTCTTGTAATATTTTATATGTGTTGAATAGTTGAAAAAGGTATATGGTAGGTGAAAAAAAAAACATTGGATAATACCGTTTTGTGACTATATTAAATGTTTACATCTTTTAGAACTTAATATTTTTACAGTTAAATGACTAATCAATAATAAAATTATTGATTTTGTGTTTTATTTAAATGAATATACCATTTACAACTGTTTTACTCATATATACTATAGCAATAAGGCTTACACATACAAATCTTTTATTTTTGTAAAACAGATTAAGAAATGTGTCATTTTTGTTTTGTTTTTACAATTATTGTTAAACCGATTTGGAATTTGTAACGCCAACAAAATATTGTCAATTTTCAACAAAAATATTAATTTTTATATGTTGGTCACAGATGTAAATACTCAAAACCAAATTCTTCAATATAACAGAAGCAGCAGCTCATTTTTTAATTTTGGCTATTATGTATGTTATGTTCATTTTGACATTTTCTACTTGGATGACAATCAACTATGTCCACTTACAAAAAATTTTGATGCTATAAATTTGTACATATTTTATGTCATCGAGTATCAACATTCTTAATTTATTTGTTATTAAAATATGTGTAATTAAATAAATATTTATATTTTTTTGTTTAATAAAGTTCAACAATTGTATTCTCATCTACTTCTGTTCATTAATTAAAAAGATAATTTCATAATGAAACAAAGTTATTACTTTATTTGATATTATATTTAATATAATCATTACATATAGTTGTTTTATTTGAATGCCAATAACTGTTTTCTTGTTTGTGTAAACAATAATATTGTCAAGTCTTCTGTTTATGCATTTAAATGGTTATTATTATCATTTATTATTTTTTTTTCTTTTTTTTTTTTTATTTAGTATTAGTTAATTACAAAAAACTAACTAATTTGTTATTAAATATTTTGTGTTCCGAATAAAGAAAAATATTTTGTTTCACGCTATACAATTTATTTTAGTGGCTTGGCGTGGCGCGTTGGCTGCTACCAGTTGCGGAATGCGACTGAGAGTAAGTAACGGCCACAGCTACTAGGTCCCGGATGGGTGACCACCCATCAAAATAATGTTTAGCCCTTAGTAGGCTGCCACAACAGTTCCACCCCATATCCTAATGGTAAAATTCTAAACTTTATGTGATCATTATGATTTGTACAAATTAGTGTTGATGGAAACCACATGAAATCACGATTAAATATAATTCGCTTTAATTTTTCAACTGACCTATAGGAAAATTACTTTGGACATGGTGTAGAGAAAATTTTCTCTTTTTTGATAAATATTTGGTTATTTGCAATTTTTCTAATTTACTAAATAATAAGTATGACTATTGACTAATAACCTTTAAATTTTAATCCTACCAATCGTCCTACTTATCAAATATAAATAAATGAATAATTTAACTGGTATTAATAATAAAATAGGCACCGTAAAATGGGGTGAATAGAAACACTTTTGAACTTCGAAATATCATAACAATTTTTCTATTTAGGCTTTATACATGATCAATACATCAAAATATTGGTCTTGTTGAGTACTTTAAATTTGTATATTCAAATTGTTTTTATGTTAAACAAAGTATATTATATATTTTTTTAAGTGCTTTGTTTCTATTCCCCCAAAAGATGGTGTCAATAGAAACATATATGATTTTTTGGTGTATTTTTCTATTTTACCAACTGAAGGATGAATAGAAACAAATAAATAAATTTTTAAAAATATAGATAACAACATTTTCAATTTAAAACTTTAATTGAAATTTATAACTTTTTTTTTACATATGTAACATTTTTTTTCTTTAATACCTAAACATTTTAACAAATTAGTAAACTATAACACAATATAAAAAATGTTATCTATCATTAAAAATAGGTAGTCTTTAAGATATTTTCAATTCAATCTTAAGGGTGTCTTTTCCGTATTCAGACTTAATTTATAACTTTTTTGTTTACACATATAACATTTTTTTTAATAAACATTTTAACAAATCAGAAAACTAAAACACAATATAAAAAATGTTATCTATCATTAAAAATACGTACAGTCTTTAAAATATTTTCAATTCAGTCTTAAGGGTGTCTTTCCCGCATTCAGACTTAATTTATACGGGTAATATTTTTGACTAGAAGTTTTATTTGCAATCATAATTAAATTTCAATAAACCTCTACCGTAAGGAATAGGTTTTTCTAGTTTTCCTATTATTTGAGAAGTGCTAAACTCACATACATCACGGACCACTGGAAAGCCATACACCATACCTTTGTACTCCCTTGTTGTTTTGCTTCTTAAAAAAGTTTCAAGAAAAATTGTTTTATTTTTCTTTTTTTATAATTTGACCAATGTAATACCTACATATAATTTTAATTATTAATATAAGTTAAAATATATTTGCTATAAATGTACGTGCCATCACAACTGTGTTTCTATTCACCCCTAAAATGACAAAAGTCAGTAAAACCTATAATATTGAAATGATTAATTAAATTTGTTAAATAATACTTACAATTTATAAAACATTTAATCCAACAATATTTCAATTCAAATATCAAATATCAATCGTAACAAGAAAAATGAAAATGTTTATAATATTTACCTGATAACAAGAACCGAACCGTTTATTTTCGTAATAATTTATAAGGATTATTATCAGTTATTGCTCATCAATTTTTATCCGCATGGCAGTAGAAATAAACGGAATGTTTAGAATTTATCGAATTACGTACTAATGTGTATTCGATTTAGTGAAGGTTTCATATTGATAACACAAATATTCAGTCGGGGAGACGTCAAAGGAATAACTTTCCAGATTTTGTTAATTTGTTTCTATTCACCCCGTTTTACGGTAATATATTAAGTGTGATCGATTTGAAAAAATGTCGCAAACAGAAATCAACATAATATTATATTAGGCCGGCCGCACACCAAAAGAGCAAAACTGTTTTAGTCATCGTTAGTCATTTTTGTCTAAAGTCAACTAAAAACAATTTGTTTTGGTCGGTCGTACACCAAAAGAGCAAAACTGTGTAAGTCATCGTTAGTCGTAAAATTGTAGTATAGTATTTCAGTCATCAACATGTCTTCCGACGAAGAAGAAGTTATTGTTCCTATTTTGTGGTCTTTGTTGTTAAATATCGAAGAGGATGAAAAACAAAAAAGAATGTGGGTTCATCACTTAATATTTAGTTGTATAATACAACTTATTAACATTGATATTCAATTTCATGAACTTATGACCCTGGGTCAATCACAAAACAAATCTAGAGTGTCCAAAGTTACTTATCAATGGGTAATCCAATTGTGTATGTTGTATCATACAAAATATTTTAATCAATCAGAAATTTTCTTAATCTATATAGATTCTGTATACTGTATTAACCATACTTTATTGCATTGAATTGAATAATCCTGTATGTATTCATATTATATAGATATGTCACCAATATATAGAATTTATGGCTACAATATTTTACTTATTATAATTTGAGTATAAACATATTATAGTTCGTAAACCTAACAGTTTATTTTTAATGATATTATTTAGTCTAAACATCAATTTATGTTGCTTTTAGAAGTAGCATCTAATTTGAAATTTGAATATATAAATTTAAGTAAAATATACTTAGAAGATTGAACACTTGTCAAATAGAACACCTAAAGTGTTAGTGTTATTTAAATGTATATATAATTTTATAACTTATGAGTGTTTACTATTTAAAAATATTCATTCAAGCCTTTGTAATTCATTTAAGTCAGTAGATGAAAACAAATACATTAAATTTTAAATAATGATTCAAATTAGCATAGTAA